TTCGGGGAAGATTCATTCCCGTTTTGTAAAGAACAAGGCTCTCTCCCTCTCTCTCTCCCTCTCTCTCTCTCTCTCTCACACACACACACACACACACACACACACACACACACACACACACACACACACACACACTCCTCCCCCAAGATTCGTTCCCATTTTGCACATCTGGGCGTCTTTAGACACTCCTTACGAGTTCCTTGAGCCACAAGGAATTTTCCTTGTGGCTTGGAAGGGATTTTTGCTGCGTCTTTCCACACATCCTTGGGGACTTTCCCAGAGGACTTTTCCTTGTGGCCTACCCGCGGCCATTTTCATACGAAAATACGCGGCCGCGGGCGGGGGTGTCCGTGGTCAAGCGTCCATTGTCCATGTGGAGACAGCGTAGTCCAGCGAACTCCGGCGGGAAAGGACATGAGGCAGGCCACGAAAAATGAAATAAAAAAAGGGGGACCTCTACGCTTGAAATTCAAATTTTTGGCTGTGGTGAAGACGGCGACGTTCAGCTTGCGGCACGCAGACAGTGCAGGGCTGAATTGGCGTTCGCGGCGATGTCCATTCCGCCCACCTCCCGGTCAGTGTACGTGTTAGCAGCGGTGTGACGCCGCCGTCACACCGATGTCCCTTATGTCCACCTCCCGGTCAGTGTACGTGCTGCACTGGGTGCATCCATCGTCGTCGAGATTTTCCTCCACGTCGTCCGTGCCATCACACGCAGTTCCACCAGGGGGACGGCATCCACGGAAAAGCGGAAGCTTCTTGGACCTCTCCTCCGGGGGTGAGCGGGTTACGTCTCTGGGGTGCGAGGATCAAGACAGTAGCCGAGAGACTCCATCCCTGTGGAGGTGGTGGCGATGGACGGCGGCGGAGAGGGCGGACATGCGCTATTGACACCGCTTGAGCTGGCAGCCATGGCGGCAGCCGTGTCAAGCGTTGTTCTTCGTTGTCAGCAGGACAGGGCACTGGACGAATAGAGGAGAAGTTGTGCGCGCGTAGAAGAAGGATGCTGATGCAAGCTGCGAATATAGGCCCCGACTATGTGGCAACTTCGGAGGCTGTCATTGAGTTGTGCTACACGTTGGGTTGCGACGTCCTGTGTTACCTTTGAACGCGCGTTTCGCGTTCATGTTTTGAACGCGTTGAACGTGCGTTCATTGAACGGGGCAAAAAGCGTTGAACGCGTTTGCGCAGGGGCCACAAGGTGCAGAGGTGTGGGCTGAGGGTTGTGTGTGTGTGTGTGTGTGTGTGTGTGTGTGTGTGTGTGTGTGTGTGTGTGTGTGTGTGTGTGTGTGTGTGTGTGTGTGNGAGAGAGAGAGAGAGAGAGAGAGAGAGAGAGAGAGAGAGAGAGAGAGAGAGAGAAAGAGAGCATGCGCATTGCTGGCCCACTGCCCCCCGGCTGCAGCCCGTTCCTGCACGCTCCCGCTGCAGCGCTCTCTCTCTCTCTCTCTCTCTCTCTCTCTTTTAGTGGCTTTTCACAGTAGTCGCTCGAATGCATGTGGTGCAGTTAATGGTCCGGATACATTCAGAATTTGCAGTCTGACTGTGAATTTCCAATGTAACGGTGTGAGGAAACCCGTGAATTTCCAATGTAAACGGTGTGAGGAAACCCGGGGAGGGGCCGCCTACCGTTTGCTCAAGCCAAGGGCCACGGCGCGTGTCACTCGCCGCGCCCACTTCCGAGGTCCTCAGCAGACGGCAGGGAGCCGCAGTATGTCCGACCGTTTGACGCGTCCCTTTTCGAAAACCAGACACGGTCAACGTTTTTCGCACGCTGAATGGGTAGAAACAGAGTTTGAGTTCAATTAAGCCCGATCTACATCCATCTGGGCGGCGGCGGAGCGCTACCAGGAGCGCTCCGCCGCCGTCTGACGTTTGGACGCGGCGGCGCTTCGCGGTGAAGCCTGGAATTGAGGAAGGCCGAGGTGCTGCAACGGCGAATGTGACTCGAGGGGGAGGTGAGAGATGGATCATGAGGTATGGTGGAGGGGGCTATTGGCGCCTGAACGTGTGGACGGTCACGAGGGCTGTGTATCCTACATCAAGGTCTTGGTCAAGAGGAGGAACATTGCGGCGGGGAGTTAAGGGGAGGGGGATAGGGTTTCACGGTTTGGTGGAAGAGAGTCATAAGGAAGAAGGAGGGAGGTGGAGTGTGGGGGAATGGTTTCTATAGGGGGGTGACGTCTGCAACGAGGATACCCCCTCGTCTCCCAGGCTCTGGGCTACCCGCGAGGGGCGGCTGGCGGGTTCAGCGGTCTGGTCTCGCGCCGTGGCTGGGTGTGCTGCGACGACAATCTTAGCTGCGGTCCTGCTGTTATCATCGTTCGGTCTATTTGGATGGTTGAATGCTTGTCAATCACAGGCAGCCGAGTTGGGTGAGTACCGATGTATTCGAGGAGGTGAGGCTCGGAGGGAGGGGGGGTATGTCTAAGGATGTCAAAGGTAAGTGGTGTTTTCATCTTCGGTTTGACCTTGATGAGATTTCCAGGGTGGAGACTTTCTGATAGTGTTTTACTTGTTTTTTTACATAGAATCTTCGATAGGTCACGCATGTGTAACTGATAATTCTGATCCAGTAAATTCTTAGTTCTGTTTTCGAAATGGAATTTCTGACAAAAATCGATTGGTAGTTCGCAAGTTTTTGTCGATTGGTGCCGGATTTCAGATTCGTTTGTTCTTTTCACATATATTTGATCGCTGCTTTGTTTCTGCCAATTGGTATTCTTTGACTTACCATCACAACGATTCTTGGGACCTTGGGGTTCTAGGAATCTGAATCGAAAGTCCTTTTGGACATCACAAATGATCCACTCATTTGGTTTCAATCTCCATTCGAAGTCATTCTCCATATGGAATAATTCTAATTCTAAATTTCAGATTTGTCGTTCTTTTTCAGTCTAAAATCCTAAAAGATGGTTCAGATAAAATTCCTGAAATTCGTTTTTGATTACCTTTTCCAGATTTAGGCTTCTGAAGGAATTTCTTAGGGGTGTGAAGCTGGGATTGGGGATGGAAGGCAGGAGGGGTTCTCAACAGAGGAGGGTCGTTGGTCAGGGTAAGTAGGTTAGAAGGACGGTGCTGGGACGACGCAGGCCGGTGTTGGAGCCTGTGCTCCGTAACTCGGGGGGGAGCTTGAGGCCTGCGAAGTTATGTTGAGCACATAACCAGACCGTCCAACGAGGCTGGCGCCGGGGTATTGACCCTGTAACCAGCTAGGGGCTTGCCACTACAGGAACTGCCGAGGGAGGAAGGCACTTCCTGACCGTCAGAATGAGTTTGGTCGGTACTGGG